TCTACCAACAACGCAAAGTTCTTCGACAGATTGACTCTTTGACATAAAAGCAAAAAATGTGTCAACGGAGATTTCACATGAAGTAATGAGTGTACATATCTACATAAAAATACATACAAATGTGTAAACGACATAATATATGTATGTCCTGTTACATATGTTTACACATGCATTTGAAAAGAAAAATTGAAGCATGAATGTGAAATACCGACGGCAAAACACAATTCTGTACTTTTATGACTCCATAATGGTGTCAAGTACAATTAATGAATTATTTTAAGAAATATATCAAAATACTTTATTAGTAATAATTTAAAAATATTTTGATATATTTCTCATAATAAAGTAAAAATGAATAAACATAAAATAATTTAAAAAATAATAAATAATAGTTCAATAAAAGGAATATGTTTCAAATAGCATATCAATATTCCCAGTTTGGCATACATATTATATTCTCTTCAATATTCGCCGTTTGGTTATGTTAAGAGAGCGTATGTTTACAGATTCACCGCTGTTATTAAAGCGAAAAATGTTATTTGTTTCTCGTGCATCTGTGGTGAACTCCTTGATAATTTCCTACAAATTGTTCGCTGTCGAACCTGCACCTTCTCATTGTTTTAAGTTCTCTGGTTTTACATTCTCTGGTTGACAGCGGCGAAGTTTGGTTTAAGATATACTATATAAGAGCTGCCGGATTGTGCAACAGACACAGTTCTAGTGAGAGTGTTGCCGTGTAAAGAGCATTTAAGAGATAGGTAAAAAGTTTGAATTCGAATAACGAGTAATAAGTGTTAAGTTGTTTGGATAAGAAATAAAAATAAGATCCAGTAATCGAACTCAAGTGTGAGTTACAAGGTAGACAATTTATCGGAATTTCGATTCCGGGATTAAATCAGTTTGGTAACCGTTTTGTATGTTGGTAAAAACGGGGTTTCTGTTACAGGTTTTATGTTAAATAAAACCGAATTTCAAAATACATATAAATATACTCCATATAACTAATAAATGGATAAGATACAACTCACTCTGCTTTCCTCCAAGAGGTTTTGGGAGCATGTACGCATGTGAGTGTTTTTGTTGTCAATTACAGTCCAAGGAGTGGGCCCAATTCATAAAGGAGTGGGCCAATATTTTACTGCCTTTATCTTTTCATTAGCTTTGCAAATAGCCTTCGTCGTCACTTTGTGATCTAATTAGCCTACTTCCTTATTGAAAAGGGAACACTTCCTAGGGCTCAGCTTTAGACCAGTGCTAGTTATCTGTTGGAAAACCTCTTAAGTTGTTCGTCGAAGCTTTTGTCCAACACGATGGCATCGTCGAGGTGTGCCAAACATTATTTTAATACCTGGTCCATAAGTCTCTCAAAGGTAGCAGGAGCGTTACGTAAATCAAAGAGCATTATGGTAAATTGCCATAGACGATGCATTATCTTCTCCGTTTATTGCCACTTGCTAACAACCACTTTTCACATCAAGTGTTGAGAACCATTTTGTGTTTGATAACGAGTCCAGCGTGTCATCGATTCTTGGTAGTGGATAACTTTCTTTCTTCATTACATCATTCAACCTTCTATAGTCAACACAGAACCTCATGTTGTCATCTATATTCATCACAAGTACTACCGGTGAACTCCATGGACTCATTAATGGTTCGATTACGCAGCTTTCGCTCATGTCACGTATGGTCTGGGCTTACAACTTCACGATTTTATCATATGTAGTTCATAATAGAAGTTGTTTAGCATTATTTTGGTGGTCTGAATTTAGTTCCTTGGTCTATGCATTAATTTCGTTCGATATGTCGTTTTCGCCAGTAGAATCTTTTTCAAGACGTATTTCACAATTTGTCACGGCCTAAAACTTCTGACACTGTCATAATATAGCTCCTCTGGAAAATTTGATTGGTGACTTCAACTCATTAAGTACTCTTACTGATACACGCTTATCTTGTCCTGTCATAGCCATCTTTTGCATATAAGTAAGTTTTTTGTAGATTCTTCTTTGGCCTTAACAACTCACAACTTGATTGTCTCATAGTTTCCCTCTATTTCTGACCAAATAACTACTTCTGATTTTGATGTAATCTGCTGTTATTATCGCTCGTCTAACGTTGTATTTGTTATCATATCTGGACATAAAGGACACTTACATATTAGTCTAAGTCATAACCCTATTCTCCATGTCAATTTTGATTCCTTGATTCGCCAGAAAGTCTACTCCAGTTATGACTTTGTCGATGATTTTTACCATTATCAAATTGTGTAACCCGGCTGCCTTTCAATTACGATCTCGCACGGTATTTTTTCGAGAACTTGAGTATCTTCTCCAGTTGCAGTATGCAACTTTACTCCAGTGGTCTTATTCTTTATTAACGAGATCAGATCGAATTATTTCCAATAACGGTAACGTTACTCGTATTTTTGCTTATTTATGAAATGGAGATTACATTCATTTGCGAAAACTAACCCGTGTCCTTTTCGACTGACTCGTTTTAGCTTAACGATTGGTTGGATTTGACATTTGCTTGATCTTCCTCAGGTTTGCGTTGAAGCATTTAACCACACCATCATTAGTCTTACGCGTTTCTGTAGATTTTTCAAATACTTCCTGCATCTTTTTTTTAATCTTTTCAAGTAATTGGTTCAGCCAGGTGTGTTCTTCTATATCTCCTTGATGAGCTATAAATGTTCGATTAGTAAGCAGAGATGCAGATTCCTGAGTCAGAGCAGAAACGGTTTTTGCCTAACACAGCAAAGCATATAGTGTAATCTCGTATTCCATTGAAGAAGATCTGAATTTTGGGGTCCTCGATGAACTCCACGGATTTATGTACATAAGCTAAGTGACCTAACCGCTCAATATCTGTAAAAAAAACTCCTTCAGAGACTTATTGGCTTTCTGGCGTCGATTTGGAATATCTGCTTCCTGTGCTCTCTACCGTACCGTCTTTCTAATGCATCTATTAACATTTCACTCGACTCGCAGTTTAAAAAGGTTTGTAATATCTCTGCTGCAGATCCTTCTAATGCAACGAACAATGCAGCTACTTTATCTAGTCTATTGCATAATCCCATATAATTTAAAGCAGTGAAAATCTGATACAATAGTTTTATTAATAAATTTACACAAAATTGTCATATCGTAACGCAAAAAAAGTCTGCGTAAAATGGGAATTCTTCGCGTAAAAACCAAGAGTAAAAATGTCGGAAAGTTATAGTTTTACTTTTATTTCGTAAAAGTAGTAATTTTAAACGATTTTTGTTTTATTCAGTTTGTTATTATATTTTGAACATCGTCTCTTCCCTAAAAGAAAACAAAGGGATCCTCTAAAAGGGAAATAATGGTTAAACTTTTGGGAGAAGGAAAAACATACGAGGAAGTCGGTCGAATTGTTGGAAGAACACATTTCTCCATAAAAGGAATAATAAAAATCTACAAACATACCCACTTTTTTATATCTCGGCCCGCCCAGGGCGACCAAAAATACTAGCATAGCGTGAAACAAGTAAACATGTGACAGAAAATCTGGAGCAAAACCCCGACTTACTGCAATCAAAATCGCGGAACATTTTAAAAATACTTTAATGGTCAAGTCGCACACAGGATATCATTCATATCATCAGTCAATAGGCAAATTCATAATGCTTTCGCGAAAGAGCTCCGGGACTTTGGCATAAGGTTATATTGGCCGATGAAAACAAGTTTTAGGTATTTGAAATCAAGGGACGTAAGATTTTTGGTGAAAAACGGGCACAGCATTCGATAAGGAAATCTTGATGCATTCTGTAAAGAACGGTGGTGAAGAAGCAATGATATGGGGGTGCATAGCTACTAATTGCGTCTTAAAAATAAATTTGATGCAAAGTGCGGAAGAATTGTATCTTGGAAGTGACTACTATTCTACAGTATAACGACCCGAAGCGTATAGCAAATACATAGCTAAGCTTTGCTTACTCTACAACGTTCCCAAACAGCTTCTAACACCACCAGAATCATCCTAAAAAGCATCTATAGGATTCACTGGAACGTAAAACCCGCCAACCCTCAATTACCTTAAAGGATGTGCTGAACGAGGAATGGGCTGACTATCTTCCACAGAAACCTCTGAGCTTGTCTATTTCATGCAAAAACCGCTAGCGGAAGTTTTAAAACGTTGGGAGCATCCGACTTCCTATTGAATTTCATGAAGAATTCAGTAGAAGAATATCTTACTCTACTTAAGTACATGTCTGCGTACAGGGACTTTTTCTAATGAATTTTTTATTCGTCGGCATGTTTTGCTTTGTTAACATGTTATTGTCGAAATGTAATCACTTTTATTTTTATAAAACTACATATTTTATGTCATTTAATGAATATTAAATAAATTGGTTTTTAGTACATACAATTTATTTTTCAAACGATTTATTATTGTTGGTACACAGAATATGTTTCAATTTCATAATGGAAGTTTCTTTACAATTTTTATTTTTCCACAGTTCTTAATTCTTACTGAAATACATGTCTGAATAACTGAGGCTAAGTGTATCCGGCATTCCAGTACATTACAAATTCTTCCTCATTTGTAAATATTTCCGCAACATTCCTTCTAACGCATCCAACACCTAATCAAAATATAAAAAATAGCTAAATTTTATAATATGTATTTATATGACTTAAAAAAATTTCTGTCCTTACCGGTAGATTACCCAACAGAGCTAGATTTCTGTTAAAGTTTCTATGAGTTTCTTAAGGCCCAATTGACAATTCTAACCGAAACTTTTATATACATGTGATGGTTCATCCCTTTCTTACGCATTGGGCTTATGAATTGCATAGCGTATATATGTTAGTTTTCGTGCTAATTTTTTTGATGTTTTGAGCTTCCGCCTTATATAAATTATTGGTAAATCTAGTTAAGGCATAAATCATCGATAGTCAAAATAAACTATCGATAGTAAGATGAAAATAAATATATCAAGACTATCGATAGTCCCATCGATTGTTTTGAGCTCTAGTGTGGGCATTTGTGTTGTTTCCATGCAAGTACTTGCTTAACGATTGTAAAGCGACAATTTTCTTGGATGTGTCTAAATATTAAAAGAATTTTATCGGCATATCCCATAAAAGTGCGGAAAGTCAAAATTTAATGAAATATTAGTTATTTTATAACCGCGTATTAGGAATACATTGACTAATTGCAACGTGTAGCTTGTTATTAGTGTACCACACCCCCCCAACAATTCATTACGATTGTTGCTTTTATTTTACAGCCGGAATTACCATTTACCATCTGCTGCTACCTGCTTTTGCAAAGTAGTTAAATGTAATTATCTAAGCTTTAAAAAATAAAATAAAATAAAATAAAAAGATTATAAAATTTATTATATATTAATTTTTTATGATTGTGTTGTTTCGTGTGAATCTGACGCTTAGTCAATTCACTTATTTATAATATCTTGAGTAACGTTATTCGTTTACTACGAAACAGTCAACATAACGAAACGTGGATACATAAATGTATACCAATTGAAGTATTATTTGATATTCAGCATAAACAAGAACAAATATTGGGGTATGTTATTTTGCATATATTATTTGGGAATTCCAACATACCAATAGTTATTATTTAACTTTTTTGTTTCTTTGTATAGCTTATTCCTTTTCACAGCATCAATAGCATTTCAAAAAATGTGTAGCGAAATATTCTGACCTCGACAAATTTTCAAGTCAAAATCTTTCTTTGACATGCTCATTGTCCTCATAGACATTAAGGTAATTACTTTGATTGCTTAATATTCATCATATAATTATTTTTTTTCGATAGGTTTGAGATTATATACATATATATCATTATTTTGCAACGCATTAGTAGGCATACACACGATCTTGTTTTGTTCGTAGGAGTTAACTAAAATTATAGGATTTTGTTAATATTATTGAATCTTCAATTATACTTGACATTCAACCATTAGAGTTCGGTTTTTTACTGAATAGTTCAGTCTAGTTAAGGAATCCTGGAAAAATGAATGATGTTTGACATTTTTAATCACAGGCGTCTGGTGCTGTTGTTGAGAGAAAAAATGTTTAGTTGAATTGATTATCTGAGTATTTAATTTTTTTCCAGCTATAATCGATCGGATTGCGTTCACTCCATTCTTTCACTTTACTAAACTCAACCTAAAATTGTTTAAAGTTATTTTTTCTTTTGCTTTTTAGTGTTGTCAGCATAACAGAAAACATTTTAAAAATATCACGTAGTAATAGATGAAAACTATGATACAATAATTTCTTAAAATGTAATGGAATTCTTAAAAAAAACATAACAAAGACAGACTCAGGATATATACATTATCCATCATCCATCCATAGTCCGTACGATTTTGCTGAAAAAGTGTCAAATATTTTTAGTGATAGGGTAATTACTAAGAAATAAATGGTATTATCTTCAAAATAAAATTATGCAAGGAAAAAGGCTTTGATACTTTTTTTTTGGGGGTCGGCTTTAGAATAACGTCCCACGCTTTCGGGGATAAAATGGGTATGGGCGGATAGAGGAGATCCTCCAGATCAAGAATATATATAGATATAGCCGCGGGAAACTTATAGTTTTCGAGATAATTGGGTTTAAAGTTCAAAATTTCAACTAATTAAAGTACGTATTTTTGCGATTTAAAATGAATTATACACTTTTTTTTGCACTTTTATATCCACTAACACTTAACTAATTCGTTTTTAGAAATTTTTTTTATATTAGATGCTGCAAAAATAGCTTTATTTCAATATTTAAATCATTGTCCAATTTTATTAATTTTGACAATAACAAAATGGTTGTGAATGTCCAAACATCATTGTTGCCATACTAATATATTTTGTAAACGAAGAAAAATAAAATAAACAGAGAGATTGTACCCTAGATACAGGAAACAACGCAAAAAGAATTTCTGCGCGTAAAAACTTTGGTACACCCCGGTGTTGGATCGACCAGGGTTATTTTTTTGAAGCGCGGCCGAAGGCCGCCAACGCAAAAAGGAGTTCTGCGCAAAAAAACCTTGATACACCCCGGTGTTGGACCGACCAGGGTTATTTTTTTAAAGCGCGGCCGAAGGCCGCCAACGCAAAAAGAAGTTCTGCGCGAAAAATATTTTGATACACCTCGGTGTTGGACCGACCAGGGTTATTATTTTGAAGCGCGGCCGAAGGCCGCCAACGCAAAAAGAAGTTCTACAAGAAAAAAGTAATATTGTCATTAAGGGTATAACATAATACTTAACATCAATGCTTTGTAATAGTTTATTTCTCTAGGTTTTGGATTCCTATATTTGGGGTATTATCTGTTTTAATTTCTTTCAGTTCAATTACAAAAGATGTCGATAAGGTAACACTGGTTATTTGAAATTTTGCAACCCTTTTGTTATTGTCAGAATTAATAGAATTTAACAATAATTCAATTATTGAATTAAACTATTTTTGCACTATATAATGTAAAATAAATGTGTACAAACGAATTAGTGAAGTGTTAGTGGATATAAAAGTGGAAAATATAAGTGTATAACTCATTCGAAATGGGAAAAATGCGTACTTTAAATAGTCGAAATTTTGAACTTTAAACCCAATTATCTTGAAAACTATAAGTTTCCCGCGGCTATATCTATATATATTCTTGATCTGGAGGATCTCCTATATCCGCCCATACCCATTTTATCCCCGAAAGCGTGGGACGTTATACTAAAGTTTTCCCTTTTTTGGTTTTGAAAGTTTAATCATTGAGCTGTTTATACAAAATAAAATTAAAACGAAATGTTAAAATAGTCAGCTATTGATTTTTTTAATTCTGAAAAAAAAAGAAAGTGCATTATAATATGCAATATGTACATATACGCTTTTCAAGTTATGACTTATTTAGTTTTTTAAACTCTACAAAATATATCCATGATCAATCCTTCTAAAAGTAAAATTTTTTAAAATTATAAATTATTTTAAAGCATTTGTAATTTAAAATGGATAGAAGTGTGGATTCGATTGGTAGCTGCTCTCTTGACGTCGACGCTGATTCCACGGACGTATCAGGTATAGTTTTATAAATTTTTAAAATACTTTGGTTGAGTTAATTGCAGTAGAATTCATAACTATTGAAAATTCATACGTGAAATTGTTAAATTAATAACTGATAATTATTTTAATATTGTAGATATAAGTGGGAGTTTGAATTTTCCAACACCAATTTCTATTAAAGACATAACCACAGAATTCACCACAAATATACGCGAGCGATGTTCTGTTCAGACTTTTCATGAATTCAACAAGGATTTTATGGATCTTGAGTCGCAAATGGTGCTGAAACAGCCAACATGTGCCTTATTAAATTCATCCAATCCGATTTCGAATAAAATCGCTGGTCAGACTGTTTCAAGTTCCGACAAAAAGCCAAGTTATCTAAATCTGGCTTGTTGTGTGAACGGGTATTCTAATCTTACAACTTATGATTCTAAAATACGACAAGACATTAATAAATCACGCGAGGTGTCACCCATCCGCCCGTCATCAAATAGTATTCAGTATTGTAAAAAAAGCAATTCACTAGCTCCACCAATATTATTACAAATGGCTGATGATAGAGGTGGCGTTTCTAATACGAAATCGACGGCAACTAATGGGCAATCTATAAATTTTGGGTTTAATAACACAGAAAACAATGAGCACTGTGTTTCACTATGGCAGGAGGATATTCGCACTACTAGTTTTATTCAACAGAGAGTGGAACGGTTGTATGGACCTGCTGCGCTAGCACAAGGTTTTTATAGTCCAAAAAAAGTTCGTAGCACTTTTGTTTGTAAGAACCCACGGGATCGCGATGATGCTGGTTCATCAGAACTGGAAAGAAAATTTCAACAACTTACTCCAAGTAAAGATTATTCCGAGTTTCGGAAAAAGTTAAATGGGACTATAACAAACTCTCCTCGGCAAGTTATTTCGACAAACGAAATTTCAAACTTTAATAATAACACTGTTGATTTACCTGTATTTCGTCATTTAAGCCAAGAGTTTCGTGCTCAGTTGCCCATAATTTCGCCAAAAAAAAACCAATCAAGAAGTTCTCTTCAAAAGAACTTAAGTTCAAAAAATGACACAACAGATACGTTTGAAGAATTAATAGATGAAGTGGATCGTAAAGAAATTTCGAAATCTCCATATGGAATAAGTAATGAACGTTCACCACATAAAGACAATATGCAATACCAAATTGCGGTAAAATCAAATTTAAATGATCCCACAATTGAATGCTTAGAGAAGGATGGTAATTACTTTCTTCATTTGCTGAAAAACGAACAAAGTCGCCTTTTAGCTTTGGCTGATAAAGCAGAACGATACGCTGACGAATTGTGTGTAAGTATATTTAATTTCACACTACTATTTTATTATTATTTAAAGTGATTAAATTAATTAATTAACTAGTATTGCTATTCATCAGGTTTTATTGAGTTTATATTCTATATATTTTATTGCTTGTTTATCTTTCACCAAAAAATGTTAAAACCTTTAAAGGTCTTAATATTTTCAGAAGAAAGGGAGTACAAAGCCGATGATGATTTTTTTAGTAGTAGATAGAAAGAAAAAAGTGCTATTATTATTACCTTATTTTAACTAAGTTTAGTTTAGGATGTAAATGTTAACATATTATATACTACGCTTGAATAAGTTGACTCAAACAAAAAAAGTTTCGGGCCTTTTTTTGTAGATCGGTATATTTTCTATAAAAATATGTGTTGTTTCTCGCTTAACAATTATTTGTTTGTGTACAATAAAAATTCAAAGAAAAAAAACAAAATTTCCTGTGTTATTTATATGGGAAATAGAAAATATCAATGAGCTCAAACTTTACTAGAATTTTTTTTCATCATTTCGGATGAGATTTTTATGGTAGCTAAGAAAAAAATTTAAAAATGTTTTTGGCTCACTCTAATGTACATATATGTATATACGTTCCGAATGATAATACAGCTATAGAATACAAGTATAATATAAATTAATTTTCTTTAATAGTTAAAAAAAGTACGGAAGGGCTAAGTTCGGGTGTAACCGAAAATTGTATACATTTGCAACTGGTAAGGATCAAAGCCGGCGAAATAACGAAAATCATTTATGTGATACCAATTTCAGATATTTTCGGCATTAAACTATAGTATATCCAATAATTTATGTTCTGTTAATTTTGCTAAGATATCTTATTCATAAACGAATATATATGAACCCGATTTTATCAATTTTTGACATTACTACATTTTACATAACAGAAAAAGACGTTCTCTGTGTTTCATTAAGGTACCTTACATAAGATGTAAAGTCAACCGGATGTTTGATAATGCTAAGATTAGTTATGTGGGGGCTAGGTCAAGTCTCACTCCGATTTAATTCATTTTAGACAAACAGATGTACCGTTATTACAAAACCACGTCCTCTCAATTTTCGAAAATCTTTCTATTAGGTATATGGGGGCTAATAGAAGTATAGACCGGATTCAATCCATTTTTGACATAAAGACATAATATTATCGTACATTGAACGATAATTTCGGTATATGGACGCATCAACAATTATGGCTCGATGTTGAAAATTTTTAGACTTTAGATGGCATATCTTGAAGGCACTATTGCAAAGTTTTATTTCGATATATTCATTAGTGCTTGACTTGTATACTGAAAAGTCAAAAAACCGAATTGAATTTAAACTTGTGTTATATGGGAAGTATGCGTTGTTTAAACCCGATTTTCGATCCTGTTGGGAATGAACGTGAAAAAATGTTAAATCTAAAGCTAATTCTTTTTTTAATTCTTAACTATATGCTTAAGATTAAAATGTTTCTCTCTTATTTTTAATCCGGTTTTTGGGATTAATTTTTTTTTGCGCGACCATAGCTGATCTTTAGTACTTGACAAGTTTTGGAAGTTTTTATACGTTGAACATCTTTAAAGAAAACTTTTATACTCTTAATTTTATTTAGATATACTATATGACCGTTTCAAATTGAATAATTTACTAAAGGTGATCTTCAAAAAATACGTTGTTCTTTAAATATTTTATGGAAACGTAGTTTTCAAATAATAGCTCTCATCGATTCGTCATCCCAAAGTTGTCGAAAAATGTAAAATATGTGTTAAGAAATTACAATCTTTTACCAATATGATTAAAGTAATATTTATAATTGTACCTAAGGGCTCTGTTATTATAAGTTGATAAGAAAAAAAGTTTCATATCCTTTAAAGTGTCCAATATGTATTAAGCAACTAGAAAAACGGATAGCCTTTTCTTTTCTCAATGAAAATAATGCCTCATTCTTTGGCAATATTATAATAATGCTCCATTACACCTAACAAAATTGTTTCATTTGTTACATGACAAAAGAACAAAAACGCTGCGGACCAACTCATTTGCAATTTCCATTATTGTACTTAACAAAATTGACCGATTCATTATAATTAGTAGAAAAATTTTAAAACAGGAAAAATCGATTACTTCGGTTGCACCGAGCTATAAAAACTTTGATCGGTCAGTTTGTATGGCAGCTATGTATATGCTACAGTAAATCAATCTGAACAATTTCTTCGGAGATTGCACCGTTGATTTTTGCAATAATACATGCCAAATTTCTTGAGGATATCTCATCAAATGAAAAAACTCTATACCAGCACTTGATTCCGATCGTTCAGTATGTATGGCAGCTTTATGCTATAATGGTCCGATAATGGCCGTTTTGACATATGAGCAGCTTCTTGGTGCAAAATTTCAGAGCGATATCTCAAAAACGGAGGAACTAATTTGCATATTGTAACGGATTTCTTGATAAATCCTCTACCTTTTAACTCACTCTTGAGTTCACACTTACCTTTATTTCTAATCCAAATAACTTAACGCTTTACTATTCATTATTCGAATTCACAACTTTTTATTTATATCTTAATTGCTCTTTACACGGCAACACTCTAACTAGAACTGTGTCTGCTGCACAATCCGGCAGCCCTTATATAGTAGATCTTGAACAAAACTTCACTTCTAGAACATTCTGGCAACTACGAATTCGCTGCCTAGATGATTCTGGCAATTTATCGTCGATTCGATTTTGTTCAATCATCCGTGTTCGTTACAATATATACGGACAGACGAACATGGCTAAATCAACTCAATTTGTCACGCTGATCATTTATATTGACATCCTTTATATGGTCTCTGACGTTTCCTTTTGGGTGTTACAAAAATCGTAGCAAACTTAATATACCCTGTTCAGGGTATAAAAATACCTATCAAAAACGATAAATAAACATCCGCTGGGCGGTCTCACGCTTACGTTGCCGAGAAATTGTGCAACTTTTGCTGGTTAGAAGGTGAAATTTTGAGAAAAAAAACAACCCTGAAAAAATGTTGAGAAATGAACAGGAAAATTTGACAACACGAGCATAGGGCAGAATAAATGCAACATGTTTGTGACAAAACAAAACGCTATGAGACACTAAACAGACAGAAGTCTAGTAATTTCAGGACGAACGTAAAAATTAGTTTAAATGAACGTCAAAACCAAAAAGCAATGCTGCCAAATACGTGAAACAGTGCTTATTAAAAATGTAAAGTCATAGTTGTTATCTGTCTTCTCAGGTATATTGGCTTCAGTAGCCAACAGCAAAGCTGAATTCTGTTATGTTAGCCAGGGCAATTAAACTGGCTTTTATACTCCAGTAGCCTTTCACATCAGGGGTCTAGGGACTTTTTAACACATTTGAAATCATATAATATAATTGACTTTACATATGGTATCTAAAAATATAAAAAATTTTAACAAGAAGCAGCAACGCTATGTACAGTGTTCGTTATATTGCATTGAAATTTCCTTGATTGCTTAACATTTTTTTAGTACACAGCACATTAAATATAACAGTCAATTTTACTCAGCAACAAAAGCAAAAATTTTTGGCCATTTATATAATATAACAGTATTGAATACTTTCAGGACAATACCGACGTTTCAGAGGACACTTTAGGCTTCTTGCGTTCAGCTTATGGTAAAGCTCGGTTGCTGGTGTCACAAAAGATGAAGCAATTTGAAGGTAAATTTATTTGTACTATTTGCACTTATAAACCTTACCATCACAATTTATAAAGGTTAAAAGGTGGGCAATATTTTGAGATGTTATCCAGTTGTATATAGTGTATTTTGTTTAATATTTCCTTTTTCTTTAATTCAATGCCATTAAGACATTTCAAATGGTGGGAGGAGCGGGCTGCTTCAAGGACGTTGTTAGATGATTTGGTTTGAGTGGGCGTGCAAAGAGGTTGTCAGTGAGTGGGTGTTCGATACATGGTCCATACTTTATTTGCACAATAGTTATTCTAAACTGGCTAGGCAAAATACCTCGCCCGTTATATGGTTCGTAAAATTTAGCTGGTCAGGAATGCGCTTGTGCCTGTTCTTTTTCAAGCAAATACCTACAGTATTGATTTTAACGAAAGTAATTTTGCAGACACAGCTTGGAGAGTAGTGGGCTAGTTTTGGTAGCATGCTTGTGTATTGTTAAAAGTGCACTCAGAGGACATCAGAAGGATGTGCTAACTGCCCGAAGTGCGGTGCGAAGGTCTTCACCTGCATCTTATCTTATCTCTAATTGCGTTGCCAATACGTCTATGATGATTTTTCAATAGGTATTGCCAGTTATCGATTTCAAGATTTAATAGCTATCCTTTGCCTCGACAACAATCGCGGCTGTGAAGTGTAAGTTGTTGAAAGGTTACTAGGATTGTTTGTAGATTATTCACTGTTGTGACGTTAAGTTCAGTGCGATATTCTTTCGTGCAGTTTATAAGTTACATTGTCAGTTCTTTTGTGAGGAAATGTTGTTTCTCCAGGGTTTAGGGGTGGGAATTTATATTTCGTTATACGTATAATTTGTGTTTACATTCTTTTTTCGATGATTTGTTTAGTCGAACGGCTAGAGGACGAATTGGGTTTATAGAAAAAAATTAGTTCTCGTCTTGAATACATACCATGTAATACAACACGGCAGCCACCAAGTTATTAGAAAAAAAATGAAAAATGTTTTGTTGACCTACATATATTACATTGTAGGTCTTTGTCAAAATAATTTGAACTCAACGCCTCAAGAAAAATTTCCAACTACAAATGATGATCTTCAAGGATTTTGGGACATGGTGAATTTGCAAGTCGATCATATCAATTCTATATTTGATGAGATAGAAGTATTAAAACAAAACAATTGGAAGGTACAAATATAAAATACTTAATAAGCAAATATATCTTAATTTAATATATATAATTCCAGAAACCAGCGGAAATTCTACCTAGAGAATCCAACAAAATATTCAAAATACAAACAAAAGCTATAAAGACTGTCAACCAAAAGACAAAAGCTGGTACATCTAATGGAAATGACTGTAAAACAAAATCAGTCTCATCGGCCGCTGCTTTGAAACGTGAATCTCAAAGAAAAATGTTGATGGAAATGAAACGAAAAAACAAAAATGCTATGACAGCTAAATCAACTATATCGGTTCGAGATTCTGTTGAGCCACTTGCTTTAAATTTTGATCCGTTAGATTCCGTTGAGATATTTGTCAAACACAGTAATTGAAAATTCGTTAATAAGTGCTTTGGTCTTACTAAACTCTACTAGTCTTCTAACAAAATCGAATGATAGATATTCTCCTATCTTTTGCTTCGACTAATTCTCGTTTTATATAAAATTGATAAGCGTTATATACACCAATAATACTCGTTTTGCAGGCTAATCATTCAAAATAAAGCAGTGTGCTATTAAAAGAAATTGAGTAATTTATATATGTGCTCCTTTTACGGATTCTAAATCTGTTATATAAAAAATGCAATATCAATCATTTACTTCATTTTCGCTTTAAAATATAATGTAATTGAGCCAAATTCATAGTTTTCAATTTAGTTAAATTATATTTACTGTTACTAGCTTAAAACTATGAAAAAATGTTGGAATTGGTTGACATCTTAAATACGCACTGTACATACAATTTTGATATTTTTATATTAATTGATTTATCATATGAATTTTGCGTGATTGTCACAGAATAATATTTAATATAAAAATACATTTACTTTATGGAAATTCTAAACATATGAAAATAACGTTTACCTATTAATCAACTACTGGTTAAATTTAGAAAGTAATTGCAAAACTATAAGAAGGTCCATATCGGCAGTGTGTCGACATCTAGATCAAATTTCGGTTTTTTATAATGACTGCTTGGGTTTTTAATAAACAAACAAAACTTAAAATTTAGTTTTGTTTCAGAAAGTAATATGTACATACGCATAAGTATATATGATTAAATTCGTTGAGGTACCGTTATATGAAATCAAAAGTAAATACGATTATACTTTCTTTATGACCGATTGTAATTAGCAACGTTATTGGGGTTTCTTTAGAGAGTTTGACATGGTTGGCCCTCCTTCTTTAAAATGCATAACCGCAACGTGTTCAAAAAGTTAACCAAGTTTCATTTTATCATGTAATTTTTTAATAATGTAAACATATGACTACGTCGGAGAAAAATTCTCATTCAAACCGCTATTGTGAATGGTTACTAATGTATAGTTACCGGTCTACTGTAAATTGTTTTATAACTTTGTGCGTTATTGAAGAAAACATTCCCCATTCTCCTTTGAGGAACGTTGCCCAGTCAACTGACCTTGGCCGCATAGAAGTTCGTTTTCGTTTTGGCTACGTAGACCCGACAATCTTGGGAACGTACGAAGACAACATTCCTGAAAACCACTTTTCGTATAACAATAAAAATGAATCATTTAAATTAACTGTTTAGACTTTGAATTAATTTGAACATGTGTTATGAAATTAATGCATTGTATTTATTGAAGTATTCTGATATCAATAACAATAGGCAATATAAAATTCTGATATAGTACCCATGGGTATTAGATGACTATACACCAGCTACATTATACGTATATAGTAAGTGTGTTAAATGATCTGAATATTGTTCCGTTCCCACGACAGTCGGGTCTACGTAACCGGAACGGACCCAGATTTTATCCGGTCAAGGACTGTCACTTCGGCAGAATTCTGCCGCTACAACAACAACAACATCTGAATATTGTTAAACTATCTTACAAGATGGTAATTTACAAGATCACCAATTCACTACTATACTTGTAAACTCATTCGTTGCTTAGATTCCGACGCGAATAGACGTGCGTGCGCATCGTTGAGATTTTTTTCGATTTCATTTTGAGCGATATTTGTTTCCGCGTTAGCATAAACACTGTTGCCTGATGTGGGTACTTGTTCCTATAAATTATTGCGGAATTTTGTTTTGTGCGGGCTTTCGCAAATAACGTGTTATGTTGTTTTTGCTCGGGTACGGGACCGCGTGTGATTTTTTTTTGATTGAGTGCACATTTTTGTGCATATACCTTTAGGTATTCGCGCGACATAGTTATCCACGTTGTTGTTGGTGGTGGATACTTTGCACGGTTCCAGTTCAGTACCGTGTTGTTGGTACTGTATTGAGCATCTGGCGTTCAGTTGTCTCTGTGGCAGGAGGATCTGGGCAGGATTGCTCAAAAGGTACCGCTGTATGTCCAAGTGTTGAAAACTGCGATTCCTGTGCAGACCAACGGTCGTAGCAGCGAAATAAAAACCCTCATATCGATTTGGTGTAGCGCCAGGAACGTTACGGGGATATTGCTCCGTCCGGCGGCCGGCCAATAGGGTTACCTATTCCAGTCAAAGATTGGCTGGAGTTGTGGGCTGTGCCCCTGCGGGATCGCGTTAATCGACCACTTGAGCTAGAGAGCAGTAGCTCCAGAATCCTTCCTGTCTGAGTCTTCTGCGTCAGTGGTACGCCAGCGGATCAGTCTGCTTGAGAGGGAGTTGTTCTCCTCCACCGAGAAAGAGAGTTAAAACTCTCGGTGAAAGCGGAGAAACCGCCGCTTCTACGGTAGTGATGGAGAAGGCGAAGGGACGGGACCTTCGGTTAGGTCTCCACCGCGAGGAGTGGCTCGGTTTGAGGGTCAGTTGCTGTGTTGGATGTAGACACTGCCAAGATTACAACGGAGAAGGGGAAGAAGAAGAAGAGGGACGTTGTCGTTCTGGGGGTGGTGCGGTATTCCACCTCGCCACCGTAAAGAGCATCCCGGGGACGTTGAGTGGGCTGGTTTGACAATAACTTTGTAGTAGGAACTGTGAAGGGGCTGATGGTGCTTGCCTCGAAGTTCGAGGCACTTGATATGATGGTCATTACCGAGAATGCTCACCTTCGCGGACAAGTTGACGCCCTTAGAGGAAGCTGCGGAAGACACTCATCGCCGCCGGGTAGGTCAATGCCGGCTCCGCCAAACCGATGCCTACACCCCCAGCACCTGTACTGGAGGCGATTGCACCGGTGACGCCGAAGCTTGTTATATCCTGGTCGGTTGTGGTCAGGAGCAAAGGGCCTGCCACTTCCTCTAAGGAAGTCAATAAAAAAACAGTGAAAGAGGTGGGTCCTTCAGTAGGTGCGAGGATCCACGAGGCCAGGCCTATTAAGGGTGATGGGGCGGTTATTCATAATCCCTCTGTTTTGGATAGTGTGACGACTAACGTAAAATTCGGGGTGGTGGGGTTGGACGTGACTCTTAACCGGAAGTTGGGTTCTCGGGTTGTGGTCTAGGGGGTACACACGGAGATCTTCCATGAAGAATTCATTGAAGAACTAACCGGAAGGTGGCCCCTGATGGTAGCACCAATGTCGTTCTGGAGAGTACGGCCAAAATGTTCTCCGCCGGAGGCAGGTAAGTGCTACATCAAATGGTATTCCTTCCGGGTGCTATCGGATAGTCCCGTTGCTGGCTGCTTTCGTTGTATGGGTTTCGACAATAGAGTGGCTGAGCGTAGGGCTAAGTCAGATGTCTGCCGGAGGTGCGGTCAGGAAGGCCACAGAGCTGCCGGTATGTAGCATTGGATATGTGACGCAAGTCAAATACCTGGGGCTGACCATGAGAGAAAGAATGTGTTTCACTCTGCACTTAGCGAGTTTGAAAGACAGGCTGCAGGCAACCGTGTCTTATTTGTGGCTTGTGCCACTTATGGAGCCGCAATATGGTGGAAATCAGCGATGGCGGTCTCGGATCGCCGAAAACTTCTCTCGGTGCAATGCTGGCATGTTTGCCTGTATGTCGTACCGTTTCGACGGATGCGATGCAGGTTTTTTTTAGGTGCACCCCCTCTTGACCTGATTGTGATACAGCGAGCTGTTGCATTTAGGTTAAGAAGAGGCTTGAGTTTGTCATTGCTGCGATTGATTGGATTTCCGATGATGACGTGGATAGGGAGGGAGTTGCTTAGACGGCGAAGACGTTTAACTGGGTATTAGGGTTAGCGTTTTGTGTGAAAGGTCTGTGCGTGTAATGAGCGTATGGGGTTCAACCCCTAGTTGCCACTCCAGAGCAGTATAGTAGCTCAACTGGTAGTAGCTTCAGCTACGAGGCCTGACTGCAGACTTAATTCTGGTACCACGAGGAGCAGAGGCCCTTGGAGTTCGCTTTAACCTGCTTATGCGGTTTGTACTTCGGGCAGTATCGAGGTGGTTGTGTTTCATACCCGAATGTGGGAAGAACTACGGCAGAGGTTGAGATCTGCCTCGAACCCTACCAAGGTGGTTAGTGTTTCCATTCCACACTACCAATCGGTACTGAAAATGCCTGTCATTGTGTAAGAAAGAGACTCGCATAAAATATGCCGGCATTCATTTGAAATCTATATTGAAAAACAGTCTACTTGAAACTGAAGATTACCACCCATTTTTGGGATACTGTTCCAAGTATTGGGCACCATTGCTAAAATTTTTGACAGACATCGTACATTTTTTTTTTTTAATAAATCTATATTTATTGGATCGGCTTGTTTAAAGCCTAACAATAAGTAATAAGATCTTAAATTTAATTAAAACAAAGCAAGCGCATGGTTCTAGTTGAGCCTGTTTGGTAAATCTTTGCTCTTTAGAAGGCTGGTAAATCTTTCCGTTTTGAGCGGGTTTGATAATAGTACTGTAGTAAGGCATTAGCTAATGGATTTGTATGTTTACGGAGTATAAATTTATAGTTCTTTCTGCTGCCCTCTACTTCTTTTTTACCATAGGAATACCAAGATCTTTATAAATGTTTTTATTTCGAATGTACCATGGTCAACTCGTTATAGCTCTAAGGATTTTTGACTGGAACCTCTGTATTATGTCAATGAATACTATGCATCCCTATCAGCTTTATTACCGCGTTATATAGTGTTGGACCTAGCACACTCCATTGAACTACACCAGCCCTTATCGGTCGTTCATCTGATATGAAATTAGCCACTTTAACAGTGGATCTCTTATTTTTTAAATAAGAATCCAATGTTTTATATAATTTGGAAGTGAGTTTATAACCACAGGAGAATGATCAGAAGATAAGTCAGTAATACAGCTGCCCCAATACATATACTTAGCATTGCCATTACAACCTGCTAGAAATCTATTTCCTAGTGAGTCAAAAAAGTCTTTAAATTGACAATCTGTAATTTTAAATCGGGGTGGGCAGTATATAGTTGTCAGGTTTTAGTCATTACTGCGATTTTTTAAACGTATTGTTGCAGCTTGTAACTGCGCTGTAGCTTGAGTTTCTAAAGCATGGTGGTTTAATTGATTTCTAATCAACACATCTGTTCCACAATGCGCCTTTCCGTCTGAGTTATTTGTGGCATAGAGTCTTAAACTAGGTATAAGAAAATTGTTCATATTTGTTAGATGTTTCAGATAATAACATGACATCTATAGTTTTTTCAATTACAAATCTAATAATATCCAGTTGTGCTGGAATGTTCATCATTTGGTTTCTACTTGTTTGAATTCCGAGCGACTGCGTTGTCAAGTTTTTATATACAGGGCAACCGCTATAATTAGCAGTGTGATTTCCTCCATAATTACTGCATTTTTCCTTAAATTAAGGCGTAATTTAGACGTTGAGGGTATATTTAGACGTTTAGGGTGTAAATCACCACATACTACACAAACACTGCGTAGGGTGCAATATGATTTTGTGTAGCCATACTCTTAGTTAGTGCATATTATTGAACCATTTCTTTTATGGATTCTTCAATGATTATTCTACGGTGGAGGAGATATTTTAAATTATATATCGGATGCGTTTTATTTTTCTTTAGTTGGTTAGCATTTGGCATCAATTCAATCTTGAACATTGGTTTTGGCACTTTTTTTCTATTAAAAATATTTACTACAGCTTTAATCTCATAACCACATTCTTTAAGAGCTTT